ATGGTGGGGGGGGGGGGGTTCCAATTCATCTGAGTATGTCATATTGTTTATCGCGTTTTAACACTTGAAACAAGCTACACCAACTTACTCGGTAGTACAAAGTCTCGTTACGGTCATGCAATCGATTCAAAATCCTCCATTTCGCTAATGATACAACATTCTCTGGCTGCCCCTGTGTATTTCTCTCTAGGGATCGAAAAGACTCCACTGCCATTTAAACCAAAAGTGTTAGTGTCACAATGTCAATTGGCGAACAACAAAGAGCAAAGAGAGAATGCTCTCAAGCCGAAGATTTGCATTAACGAAACGCAACAAAGACTCAATAGTCAGGATTACTCGAGCCAATATCTGATCATAACCCGTGAAAGACGGGCATTGTCACAACACCGAAAGAGGTAATGATCATTAAGATGGTTAGATTAAACTCACTGAAACGGGCATATTGCTGCTCGAAGGATATCACACGAGGCGGAAGCAGGCCCCGGAGCCCCAATCTGTCTCGCTCAGTCAAAGGAAAGCCTGTATCCTGCACTCCAAATTCCACAATCACATACACGGAGACAGCAAGTCATAAACTGAGACTCTACTTGACAAAGTTCAGAGACCATAATCAATCTCTTCTAAATGAGATGCCATCTATTACTCATCAAATCCAATACATAGAAATCAGTACATAACAGCAGGGTTTAGGGATCATCAAGCTACAACCCTGGTCAAACAAATCAAATAGAAACAAAAAAAAAAGAGCTGAAAACCACCCTAGAAAAGGCAGTAAAGAAACTCAACCTTGTTGAACCAGGGATCATGAAGAATATCGGCGCCACGCTTGTGGACAATGCAAGGCCCGGGAATCGCCGTCGACAAGCACCGCCGTGATCCGCCGGTCCTAGCCACCGACGCGAATCTCGCAACACTCCTCCACATCATCACTCACGATTCGACAAGACAATACCGATATTGAATTGCCGAAGAAATTAGCAATCCAACGACGCCTAAGTCCTCGGACCCTTTCCCTGTTTTCGGCCAAAACCCTCAATTTCCAGAATGCATAGACAAAGAAGAAGACAACGAAGAAAAAAATTGGTCCTTTGGCTCAAAATTTATACACAGTTTCGGTATCTTTGATCTCTTCCACTGTGACATAAACATGTTTTTTTTTTTATAACAAAATTGGGTTTTAGAATTTTTCCATTCGTGTGTAATAAGAGACCGTCTGAAAGAAGAGGCGCTGCCCGGGGGATTCGGTCAGGGGTCAAAGGGTAACTTACGAGGGTTTCCACGTTTTTTCTTTTTTCTTTCAATGGTTTCCATGCGTCGTTGTTGGAATTATTCCTTTTTTTTGGAGTTAAAATTATTGGAATAATTCCTTTGTCAGAACCAATATTATTCTGCGATATTTCGTATGGCAGTTCGCAATTATGACATGCGTTAATGAACCAGATGTATTCGAGGAAATAATGGAAATTTTGATTATTTCAATTGTTATTTTAATGGGTCAATCTTATAAAAAAAGATTTTCGATTTGTACAAAACCTAAAACTAGATCTTCTACCTTCAGTTTCACGACTAAATCTTCAATTTAAAAAAAATATATTTAAAAAATCGAATTTGCAAAATACTATTACTTTAAATTTTGATCGACGTTTAATTTTAATCCGTTAAACAATATTTTATATAGCAATTTACGCCATACATCTCATCATTTTTTTATCACGATAGATTTAAAAAAAATAAAAAATACTTATATTGATATATGTATGTGTTTATATATGTATATTATATATAGATATATCATATATGTATATATATATATATATATAATTGGTGATGCGGTAAAAGAATACGTGTATAACGTAAACAGTCATGCAAAATATTAAGAATAAAAATCAACAATGATCAAAATTCGAGTGATAATTTTTTGACAAATTCGAAGTTCTTAATAAAACTTATTTTAAATTGAAAAAATTATTTATTAAACAAAAAATAGATGAAATAATATTTTCAGTTTTATGACTTATGGAACTTATCCAAATTTAGAACAATAAAATTGAAGTGGAAAAAAAGATACGTAGGGAATATAGTGGATATATCATATATACTACTAGGGATGTCAATTAAGTCCGGAACCCGAAACTCGGTCCGAGCCCGCCCAAAAATTATAAGGACATGAGCCTAAAAAATGTAGGCTCATTAAACTTCGAGCTTTCGGACCTCGGACCAAATGGGCTACGGGCCGGTCGGACCGGACCAGTCGGGTCTCGGGTCGGGCTTGAGGCCTGTTAATTTTTTTTTCTAACCTTTTTTTCTAAACCAAAGTTTTACCTCTCTATACTTATAAATATGTGTGCCTATATATATATATATATATATATATATATATTTGAACCAAATGATGAACTTTATATCTTGGTTCGAGTTAAACTTTTTAAAGTGACGGAATTTTGAATTTCTTAACCATATTACATTATATATATATATATAAGTTTACATTTTAGAAAAGGTAGAAGTTTTTAAATATATATATTTTTAAACCTTTGTTTGTATATGAACATATTGATTTTTTTCTATAGGTTTTAAATTAATTACATCATAGAATTTCTTTTTATATTATATTTGTTATTTTTTTATCACGTTTAAAAGTTTTTAATCGCATGTTGTGGTGTTGGAGAATTGAACAATTAGATAATTTTTTTAATTATATTTTTATTTGTGAACTAAATGACTTTGTTGTTATCGGTTTTAAAAATATTTTTGTTGAATGTTTCATATTATTATTATTATTATTATTATTATTATTATTATTATTATTATTATTATTATTATTATTATTATTATTATTATTATTATCGCAAAAAATTATTTTTATTTAATAAAAAGCCCGAAGCACGGCCTGAACCCACCCGAAACCCTGTAGGGCCAGGCTCCAGACCATCGATCCTAGACCCGAAAAATAAATGGACGGACCGACCCGACCCAAAAAATCTAGACCCGAATTGAACCTGACCCGAACCCGGCCCGACCCGCCCATTTTACACCCCTATATACTACCTTCCAAATAAAAGAGAGAGCTGCCCAAGGGGGAAAACGGGCAAGAAGGGTAAATATGGGAATGTGTAAACAAGTAACGGGGAATATGGTACCGTGTGGTGGGTGTACACGTGGACGGTTGAGAAGCCCTTTCCTCCCATATTGGCGACGATGGCATTTGACACAGTAACAGTCGGATCTCCGCCACGTATATCCGCGTCTTCCCCCCTTCCACCTCGGTCCAATTGCTGTATATGCATCGTGTAATGTTTTCTAGATAAAAAAGAGGAATACTCATATTCGAGAATATTACGAGAAAACCATCCAGTTGGTCTTCGCCTTCGCCGCGTCTCCTCAAGGCCGCCAATCCTCTGGCAGAGCCATCAGTGTCAGAGATGTTTCATGTCCCATAACATCTAAAGCAAAATCAGTCAGCTGCATTGCCTTGCTGTCCAATGAGCGCCATTCAGAATCAATTTTTGTTTTATCTTACTATCTAATACTCCCATCCATCATCCATTTATATATATATATATATATATATATATATATATATATATATATATATTTTTT